AGAAATAAACAACTGTGTAAATTATAAATTCCTTTTCATCCATCACAATTGTAGCCATGGATTTTCTTGAAATGTTGAAAACATAAGCGATAGACAAGATACACGATGCTTCGTCATTCATATACATCTACAATGTTTTCAGATAAATCCTAAGTAATTTGTTTCAATTTAGATTTAGGTAACGTGATGACTCTAATGATATCAAAATCTACGAAACGTTGATTTAGAAAATGAAACAAAACAAAAATTTAATCGGACAAAGTCAGTGTTAGAATGGCAACCGGTCGTTCCACAAACGGGTCGTTTCGCCAACGGTAGTTTCGCAAACGTTGTAAACATTTATATGTCAACCTGGGCTTAACTATACGATTCAGAATACTACATTACTGACACATTGTATGCGTAAATTATTGGATGTGAAATCTCACAGCTTAACTTCTCGTTAAAGTATATTTCATAATCAAATGGACAATTTTTATCCCGTGTCTCGATAGTTGTAAAGCAAAGCTTTCTGATAGAAGACAACAACAGTAAGACCTATTTCATATTAGTAGATTGATTTGCGGATTACAGTTACTGTACATGCAACACGCAAACGCTGTGATAGAGCGAAATCAACTACAAGACTGAATGACTTAAGCTAGAGAGTTAGTTTGTGTGCTCAAACGTTGACATCTCAAATCTACAAAGTGTGTGAACCGACTTCTACACGTATAAATGTTTATAAAGTTTGCAAACTGACTTCTACACGTTTGTGAACTGACTAGAGACGTTTGCAAAACGACCGATATTCGTTAGAACTTTCTGCCTAACTTTGTCTAACACATGTACGCTATTCCTTCGGTCCAAAATTGTCGTGCTACTTTCTATAACGAATACTTTTTTTACCAACCTGCTGAAGGTCGATGTATTTTGCTAAACTGTTGTAAACCAGAATCTTTCTCCTCTTGTCTCACCAATTTGTAATAAATGATTCCAACCAACGAGGACTGTGATATTTTGGTGAAATAAGGTTCTGATGTGTGATCAGTTAGCCGGAGTTTTACCATCAAAGTTTTGACAAAACTCTTCGAAGTATCTGTTAAGAACTGCATGAGGGATTTCGTGAATCCGTACTTTTTCAGTGTCACAAAGTAAATGATAACCGTTAAAAATTCAAAAATGATCAGATCGGTTGAGCTGCGCAGGACAATAAAAAAGGATGCTGGAATTCAAGAAGTCTTCATTCAAAGGCGCAAAATTTTCGCATACACCAATAGTCGCTCAGCATTTCAAATTCTGCCTCTGCAACACCTTTTTGCTCTTTTTGCATTTGCATATGAAATAAATTTTCTTTGCTTTGGCCTGGGTGACACGTTTTTCGGGAAAGAAAGTTTAATTTGAATGATGTCGGCCATTTGAGGTCTAGGGTCTTAGAAAGTAATCCGCTTAGAGCAGACAGGTGTGGGGAGGGGAGGTGGTAATTCCTAATGTATGATTTGAAGTATCCGTGAGAGTTAACAGAATTGTGGACGCAAAATAAATTACGTGCCCTTGACTTATGTTCTCTTTTCGCCAACAGGACTTTTCTTCATAGTGTCCATGACGCGCTCATAACACCGATTAAATTTTCCTGTAAGGGAAAAGTTTGTTTTTCGTCATGCATCGGGGAGAGGCATTTGTAAAATTTTTGTGAATCGTCTTTGTCTTCTGTAGTGTATCGCAAAGAACTGAAAAGAGTATTTCTTTGGCGCTACTGGGCATAATTCGCTGATACAAACACTAATATGTTCTCTCTTTAATATGATACACCAATTTTTCTTCTTTTCTTGTGAATATCTAATAATTTCCTGCAACACCACCTTTTAGCCAGTGAAAAACTGATCTAAATATTTGCAGTATTAACCGGTTTGTATTGTCAACTGCGAGGCGTGGAATCCATAAATTCTGAAACAATCGTGCCTAGTTTATGTTCTTAATTCTTACGGAAATCACATAGCAACAAAATTCTACTCACCGCATCTCTGGAGTTAAATTTGAAGACATTTTGTGAAATAAATGTTATTGTTGTAGCTGCTTAATATTGAAAAAAAATACCCGCCAATTAATTAGAATTTAAGGACTTAGCGTCAAGTACTGGGCACGAAATAAAACTGCGTCAAAATATCGCTTTTGCTTACCTATTGACGTTTTGGTGTGGTTTTAATATCCATAGGAATTCAATCTGACTTAAGTTTGTTGATTGCGTCTCTTTCAGGAGGACGGGACAACAATTCAACTATTCCAGGTGTTTTTTTTGATTACACAACCTATTTTCGGCTTGGACAAAACAAAACTTTTTGAAAGAGACTTGAAGAGGTAAATCATAAGCCTGAAGTGACTGTCACTTGTAACAATCCAGGAAGGAAGCCTTGCAAGGTACGAAATTCTAGTTTCTTTTTCTTGTTAGGCTAGTCTCTGACCCAGTGCTCTCGTGAGCTACACTCAACCTCGAAAGTATCCGCGTGTTGTAGCAGGAAACTGTGCAGAGATATAGCGTTCGTGAAAGCGTGAATGACGAGCTGGCAAGGGCCCCGATTTTGACTTCAGACTCTCTGACTAAGAAGCACACGCTTAAAGTATATCACAAAACACCGAAAAAAATTTTAACTGCCTAATTAGTTCTCAAATTCTGTGGCGACGATCGATGAGTTAACAAGTGCAAGAAAAAGAACACAAAGATTAAACCTCGGTCAAGGGTGTAAAATATCGTGATTTGTTTTCAACTCACCGAAAAGCTCGTCAATGAGGGCAATTTCAACCGGCAGATCAAAATCACCGTATTGGGACACGCTCCAAGACACACAAACCCAACCTATTGCTCCATTCTGTACAGTAGGATGGGGCACCACCCTGTTCACACCGGTACCGCAAGTGTGGTGCTGCTGCATGAAACATCCATTATATTGCACTGCCTCCCAGCGCGAACGCACCTCAAAGCCACATGCGATACAAAGATATATAATGAGTACTGATGATTTTAAAAAGTTGTGTTTGTAATGATCTCCCAATAAAAACGACGTCTCTTTATTATCCACCACGAATCGAAACCTACGAATAAATTAGTAATTTAACTAATGCAGCCATTAGAGGAAACATCGCTGACATGCTATTTATCATTTTAATACACTGTTTGTGCACATTTTTAATTTCGCATCTCTAAAACCAAAAATTGGTTAAACTTAAATCTTAACCTTTCATATGATACAAGTTTCTTTAAATTGGTTACTAAATGCATTCATAATAAAGAAGTTCGTGTTACAGGTCACGTCGACATTCTCTGTGATTGACACAGAAAAAGGAAGCCAAGTTCGTTTCTGTAAACTTCGCTGTAGATGTACACAATTTTAATGTCGCAATATACTATTACATCTTGGCAAAAATCACTCTGGTTTCGCTTCAGG